GGCGCTGGGCTCCAGCCCCTCCACAGCGGCTGCGTTGGCCGTGGTGGTGTTGAGGCGGTGGGTGACCTGGTACGCTGCGGGGAAGGGAGCAGCACGGTGGGCCTGGCGGAGGGGACACCATCCTGGTCCCCCTGTGCACGCCTCCCTCCTCCACCCCTGCCCACGCACAGGGCCAGCAATGAGGGGTTTTTGGCTCCCTGCACAGGGGAGTTCACACACAGCCTGCTGAGTGGGGAAACCCCAGCCCTGGGGGCGACGGGCTCTGAGATGCCCAGGGGATCTCGGAGTTGGTCTCTGCCTCCCCATGCTGATCCCCGCTCCCATGGGACCTCTGCACCCCTCTGCAGAGCATCCCGGTGTGGCACAACCGGGATGGCTCCCCACCTACCTAGGATGATGCCGTTGGGTGCCGCAGGTGGCTGCCAGACAAGCCGCACTGAGGTGGTCCTCACTTCGGGGAAGAGGATCCCCACGGGGGGCCCAGGCACTGGAGGGGGGAGCGATGGGGTTCACCGGGGTGTGCACAAGTGTATGCAAAGTACCAGACCCTGTGCAAGCAGGGCTAGACCTCGTGCACCGAGAACGAGAGCCCTGGGTGTCCTAGTCATGGGGGGAGAGGGATCGCCCCAGGGAACAAGGATGGGATCAGATGGGATGGGGAGGCCTTAGGCACCCAGGGGACCCCCCCAGCCCATTCGGGTCTCTCTGCCCATCCAGGTGCTGTTACCCACCATCATCCAGCGTCCGCTCGAGGATGGGGGGCTGGCTGGGCACGCCATCGCCGATCCTGGTGAAGGCCAGCACGCGGATCTCGTACAGCGTGTACTTGCCCAGCCCGCTCAGCTGGGCGCTGCGGGAGGCATTGCCCTCTGCCAGCCAGAACTGGGCATGCGCGTCCGAGTCCTTCTCCTTGTACATCACCTGCAGCAGACCCCGTGGGACATGGCCGGCCAGGGCCACAGCTCCTGGGACCCCCCTGGACCTTCCCAGGATGGAGCAGCGTGGCCAGGGCTGGCACAGATGGCACCATCTCTTGGAGGTGGCACAACTGGGGACCTGGTAGTCAGCAGGGTGATTCCCCCCAGGGAAAGCTGTGCTTCCCAGGTCTGCGGGTGAGGCTGGCAGGGCACGGGCAGGGCTGCAGGCAGGCAGAGCCACAGCACCAGGGCTGGGGTAGGTGCTCACCTTGTAGCCCAGGATGAGGCCGTTGCAGTCTGCCTCAGGGATGTCACTCCATCGGACCAGCATGCTGCTGGAGGTGGTGGCCAGCGCCGACACATTGCTGGGGCCGGAGGAGGGCACTGGTAGAGGGATGAGAATG